CCAGTGAGTCCCCTCCTCCCACTAGCAAGGCTGATGTCCCAGCATTCCCCTGGCTCCTTGTCTGTCTGGAAGACCTGGGCCAGTGGGCCATCTGCACCTTGAACACTGCCCCTGGAGAGGGCTGGTGGTCCAGGCCTCAGGGTACCCCCTGCTCCTCAGACATGATGGCTTGTTCTAGAGACACTGGCCCTCACAACCCCACCGCTGGAGAGAGGCAGGGGTGAAGTGGCTAATCCAAGCACACACAGCATAGGAGCAGAGGGCTTGAACTAGAACCCAGGACCTTGTTCCCAAGCGCGGCATTCCCATGAGGTCATGGAGCCCCAGGCGAAGCCCTCCAGGGGCTCTTGTGAGGAGGAGGCAGGAGACCCACACCTGAGTGCTGTGCACCAGCTACCAGGTGGGATGCACAGGACCCTGGAGGGTCGGAACCACAGGAGGAGGCATGGGCTCAAGTGAGATGCCACGGACGGCTCCAGGGAGCCCCGCTGAGGCCCAGCCCAAACGATGCTATGACCAGGGGCGGGAAGAGGGGAAGCTGGAGCCAGCAGCCAGGCCTCCTCCCTGGGCACCCAGCTCTGGACAGATCTTCAAGGACCACTCCTGTCCTGGGTTTGCCAGAGAGGAGGAGGGAAGAGGGGCTGGGGACCTGGAAGGCAACACCAGAACCCAGGGGGCCTGGGTGTGGCCCAAAGGCCAGGCCCACCCAAATTTGGGAGCCCCTCTTCCCTGCCTCCCCCTCAACCCCCAGGCTGATAGGTGAACAGGAAGATCTATTTAGACCTCACTTGAATTATTAAGGGATTCAAGAATATTCTTAGCTTGGCGGACCGTGGCCGGCAGACGGGCATCGCCGAGGCCTATTTTAAGGCTCTGCGGGGACGAGCAGACGCCAGTGCACTGAGGTCCCCAGTGCCCGCCTGCCCGCCCTCTGGCCATACCTTGGCCCCCTCCAGAGGCCTCTGCACTCGACCCATAGCCCCTGGAGCTCTCCACTATGGGGGTGGGCTGGGGTCTCCGAAGGTGCAATGCCCTGTCACCTTCCTTATCACTGAGGTGGTATCAGTGTGCCCATCAGACAGGGCTCAGGGACCCATGGTCTTCATGCTTGGCTTTAACCTAAACTCTAGACCTTTCACAGCCAGATTCCCACCGAAGAGGCCCCAGCCCTGTGGCGGAGCTTCCCCTGAGAACACAGCAGCCTGGCCCAAGCGGTCACCACCCGTTGTCCCCACAACCAAGGCAGCCTTGAGTGCAGAATGCAGGTTGGTCCATTCCTGGTGGGTCTTTGTTGGGGATGCTGGTGACTAGAGGAGAGCTCAGGAAGGAGAAGAGGCAGGTCTGTGTCAATCACAGGCTTAGGGGAGCCCTGAGCAGGAGGCCCTGCACTCTTGCTCCCTTCTCTGAGCCAGGTCTCCTCAAAATCCACTCCCATGCTAGACTGACCAGGGAAACAGATGTAGGGCAGGACATAACTGAGAAGAGGACACCATGAGCAAGTGTCTGCTGATAGCACTGAGAGCATAAACGAAATGGACGGACTAAGAAGCCACACTACCGCCGACAAGGAGCAGAACACTGAGCAGACCTATAGCAACTTACGAGGCTGAGGCAGTAATCAAAATCCTCCTTGGGACCAGCAGTTGGCGTAATGGCTATGTTGCTGGACTCCCGCGTGGTTGACCGTGGTTCAAGTTCCAGACCCGGTGGCTTAAACTCACGCCAGGCGCGTGGGCGTGTGTGCCCAAGATCCCGAGAGGAGAATGGAGGAGAAGGGATTGCGGCGTGGCCATCCCCCCCTGAGGGGGGATTTCTCGTTTTCTGTCTCTCCGTCTCTCTCTGTCTGTCTGGCGAGCGCACGCACCCTGTAGCAAAAACCTCTCCAAAAAAAAAAAAAAAAAAAAAAAAAAAAAAAAAAAAAAAAAAAAAAAAAAAAAAACCAAATCCTCCTTGGAGGCCCAGGGCTGGGTGGCTTCACTTGCGACTTTTAGGTTTAACAAGAAGTAACACCAAACCTTCTCTTCTAAAATACGGGCGGGCACACTATAAAGCTGGTATCACCTGCTATGAGCTAAGGATGACGTAGCAAGAAAATGAAACTCCAGACTGCTATTCCTTATAATTACAGACGTTAGGAAACCCTCATCCAAACACTAGCAGAATAGCAGCAGCAGATAAACGGAGTGTAGAGTGCGAGCAAGCTGGGTCTGTTCCAGGAGTGCAAGATGGCTCAACGTGAAAATCAATGCAGTGCGCATTTACAGAAGAAGGGGGATCACATGATCAGTTCAATAGGTGCTAGACATCCCTTTGATACAATCCAATACCTTCCATGACTAAAAAAAGAGAACACATAACAAATGAGGAATATAGAAGGAAACCTCCTCAGATAAAAAGTTGCTTTGAAAGACCCACCACAACCATCACTTGAGGGAAGACGGAAACCTTCTCCGTAAACCCAGGAGCTCTCACCACTTCTGCTCAACACGGCCCGAGAGATCCCAGCCAGTGCAGTTAGGCAAGAAAAAGAAGAGTAGAACACATGTAGACGGGACGGGAAGAAATACAACTCTCTGCTCGCATAAGACGTGATCTTACGATTAGAACCCCTGAAGCATACACATACACAGTAAGAGCTAAAGATCAGCAAACACACAGTTGCAGGATGCAAGACACAAAATCTGCTGCACCTCCTAACGCCAGCAATGAACAACCTGGAAACGAAAACATGACAACCTCACTTATAACAGCATCACAAAGAGCAAAGCACTTAGGAACAAACTTAACCGAAGTACAAGGCCTGCACGCCAAGAACCGCAGGACACTGCTGAAAGAAGCTAAAGACCGAAGTCAAAGAGAACACAGCCTGGATTCGGTGACCGGGCAAGCTCAGCCTGGTAAGATGGTGACGCGCCCTAAAATGGCCTGTAAATCCAGCGTCACCCTCTCCAAACCCAGTGTCCTCTTCTGCAGACACGGACACATCGGTCCTAAAATTCACACTGAACTGCAAGGGACCCCAAGCAGCCAAACAATCTGGGGAAGCAAAATCAAAGCGGGAGGACCCACACTTCCGCGTTGTCGGATTTACTGCGTCACAGAAGTCCGAACGGCGTGTTGCCTGTGTAACACACACAGACCGAACACAGCTGAGCTCAGAAGCAAGCTACAGTCCGTGGATTAAAAAAGAAAAACGTTGATTTCTTCCATAAGCAAGAAGAGACAGAGACACACAGCACCCCCAACAGTCTCCATGCCGCCATCCACCCCACGGGCACGCGAGAGGGATGAAGGCGGGGGGAGAGTCCTTTGTCCTGTAGTTCTCAGGATTCTGCGCACACGCTGAACACACCCAGCACATTTTCTCTCTTTTTTTTTCCAAAGAATTATTATTATTATTATTTTTTTAATTTGCTACAGGGCACACATGAGAAAGAGAAAATAAGAAAGCAAGTCACGGGTCCAGGACTCCAGCCGTGGTTGGCCACGTGGGAGTCCAGTGCCTTAACTACCGTACCACCTGCTGGCACCTCCACCATGCGAACCCTGGTCAACTATGTGGGATCTAAGTTTCTCAGCCACTGTGCTATAGGCTGGCCTACTGATCAGCTTTTTTTTTTTTTGGAGAGGTTTTTGCTATAGGGCACATGCATTTGCCAGAAGGACGGAGAGACAGAGAGACAGAAAGCGAGAAATCACCCCCCAGGGGGGATGGTCACTCCACGATCCCTTCTCTATTCTCTTCAGGATCTTGGGCATGCACGCACACATGCCCAGCGTGAGTTTAAGCCACAGGGTCCGGGACCCGAACCGCGGTCAGCTACATGGGAGTCCAGCGACATAGCCATTACGCTAACTGCTGGCCCCGATCAGCTGTTTTTGACAATGATGTCAAGATGATATAATAAGGAAAAGGATAGTTTTTATGCTTTGTTCGCTATAGGGTGTGAGTGCTTGCCAGGAGAAGGAAACCGGGAAAGTGGGAAATCGCCCTAGGGAGAATGGCCGTGCCACGGCCTGCTCTCTTCCATTCTCCTGCTGGCATTCTCGACATGTGCAGGCAAGCACGCATGCTGACATGTATGTCAAGCAGCTGGGTCTGGGGCTCAGACTGCACAGCTGGCCATGTAGGATCCAGCCACCATGAGCACCACACCACCTGCTGGCCCAAGAAAAAAAATGTTTAAGCTTGCTTTTCCTATGAGCAAGAAAAACAGAGTGAGACAGACAGACAGACACACAGACACACACAGAGCACTCTCAACAGGGTTCTGGTGCTGTGCTGTGCCCCACCCCAGCCTTCAGCTAGAGCCAGATCATGGCACGCATGCACCCAGCATACTCATAGGTCTCCAGACTTGAGTGAAGGATCATGTTTTACCACTGTGCCACTGTCTGGTTCCAAGGACAGTCTAATATGTGGTTCCGGGACAAGTGGATACCCAAAGGCAAAAGAATGAAGTTGCGGGGCTGGCAGGTGGTGTGGTAGTCAGGGCGCTAGACTCCCACATGGCTGACAGTGGGTCGAGTCCTGGAGCTGGTGGCTTGCTTTGTCTCTCTCCGTCCTTCTCTGGTCAAATTATAATAAATAAAGTTAAATAATTATTTCAAACAAAGAAAAAAGAATGACGTTGGACCCCTATTTCACACCATATACAAACATGAACTCAAAATGGATCAAAGAGCTGAGTTGAAACTATGAAATTCTTAGAAACAAGGTGTAAATCTTCATGACTTCGGATTAGGCAATAGTTTTGTTTTTTTTTTTAACAATTATTTTATTTAACTTTGTTTATTTGTTTTAATTTGACCAGAGAGGGACAAAGTGAAAGAGAGTGAGAGAGAGGGAAAGTGAGAACGAAAGGTGCCAGGTCCAGGACTTGAACCGCAGTTGGCCATGTGGGAGTCCGGCGTCCTTAAGTGCCACACCATCTGCCAGCCCCTGGATTTAGGCAATAGCTCTTAAATATGACACCAAAAGCACAAACAAAAAATCGAACTTCATCAAATGTATGCATTTTTATACATCAGAGGACACTAAGTTAGATGAAGGACAGCCCAAGTGTCCAGAACAGATAAAGCAGCCTTGCAACTAAACGATAAAGACAAATCCGACTTTAAAGCAGGGGCCCGGCTGTGGCAGCACAGGTGGGAGGCCTCTGCTGTACAACACTGGAGCCACACAGGAGGCCAAGGTTCAAATCCCAGGTCGACCTGAACACGCCCTAACTGGCTAGGACAGGGAGCCTTTATGGAGTGGAGAGACTGCTGAGGGTGACTCGCGCATAAAATGTATGTATTTTAATGGGCAAAGGGTTTGAGTAGGTGTTTCTCCCGAGAAGATACACAACTGAACGGCATGCAAAACGCACGACACCGTCACCATCGGGGTGCAGGTCCTGGGCTGGGGTGCCAGATGCACAGGGCAGGTAACGGGCGTGGGTGAGAGCCAGATAGATCCCTGTGGGTTGCCCTGGGTTTGGAAAAGGTGCAGCCACTGTGGAAACGGTCTGGTCACTTCCAGAGTTAAACACAGGCTGTCCTAAGACCCAGAAACTACTGGCAGGTGTGTGCCCCAGACAGTGTAGACGTGTTCACACAGCACTGCAGGGCCTGCCCACAGCAGCACTCTTCACCTCAGCCCCGAACTAACACCGCCAACACCCAGCCACACGTGCCCGGGGACGCTATGGCAGGGCTGGCCCATGGAATGCCACTAGGTCATAAAAAGGGCCAAGTCCCAACATCGGTGTGACGTGGACAACCCTCGAGAATACCACGCTGAGTGAAAGATGGCAGACACTAGGCCAGGCAGCACATGGCTCTGAGGGCCCGACGCCAGGCCCGGTCCTGGCCGGCTCTCAGCTCGGGGCCCTGGGCCACAGTGCTGAGCTATCTTCCAGGCTGGCCCTGGCTGGTGCTGCAGACGACAGAAGCTGGAGCACCCAGCACCGCGCTCCCCACGCCCAGGCCTGCCTTCGGCCCTTCTGGAGCCCCTGACCCCACTCCCCACCATGCTGTCACTGTAGGGCGCACATGCAGGTGGGTGGCCAAAACCTGGCCTGACCCTCCTGCCCAGGAGCCCCGAGGAGGCTCCTAAGGAACATGTCGGAACCTGCTGATCACAGCGAGCTATGGTGGAGCCCCTCACATTGCGCGGCGTCACCAACAAACTGGCCTCGGGCCTCCTGCCTGCCTCACGTTAGAGGGACCCTGCGCAGCCCCTGGCTCTGCCTCCAAAGCTCTGTCCCTCCCAGAGTGGTCCTACCTGCTATGGAAGCTTCTAAAATAGAGGCAGTGCCACCAGATGAGGGCAGTTACACAGGCTCAGCTCTTCCCCATCCAGCCCTGCAGCCCCGCCCAACAGAGGCTTTGGACTAGCGCAGCTGAAGTGGCAGGCCCCTTCCCAACCCTCCCCTGCTACTTACTTCCAGGGCGCACTGAGAATGGGGGAGCGGTGCCAGAGTGGGCAGGCCTGGGCCTGCCGCAGGTGTCAGGTCTCAACCACAGCTCCTCCTTGGAGAGGCGGGTAAATGCCAGGAAAGGCTGCAGGATCTTTGCACACGCCTCAGCAGACTGGGGGGCTTAGGAGGCACCAGGGCTGAGGCCAGGCTGTGGGAGGGCCACCCTCTGACCCCTGCCCTTCAGCTGAGACTTCCAGTCCACCCGAGAGGAGGAAGCGGCCGGCACGGGGTGGAGTCAAGGCCGCAGCAGACGGAGGTGGCAGTGGGCAGGAGAGCCGTGGCTCTGGGGCCTGGTGGGGACAGGCTGCCCTACCCTCCTGGCCAGGGTCCCGGAACCCATCCCTAGCCCGTGGTGCCCTGTGAACCCCAGGGCCTGTCCAGGCAGGCTGGGATAGATGGCCTGGGGTCAGAATCAACATGGACCGGGCATGAAGCCCTGCCACCCCAGCTTGGCACTCTTCCAGGTCAGGGTGGAGTGGCCACCAGGAAGTGTGTGCTGGTTTAAAAGTGGACCCTGAAGGAAGGAACAGCAGAAGTGGGTGTCAGCTGTGTTGGCAGGCAGACACAGGCCCGCCAGGCACCCGAGCTCCTGGAAGTCAAGCTCACGTTTCCGGGACTGCCGTGGTGCCCGGGGGCCTGTCTTCTGCTAAGGCACTGTGACCCCAGCAGCCACTGAAGCTGGAGCAAGGGGTAGCTCCCTCCATGAGCAGGGCAGGGCCTGCCGCGTCCCTGATGGGATGCAGTCAGTGCTGTTCAGGAGCAGGGTGCTCTGCCAGGATCCCTGCAGACCCTGGCTACCAGCATGGAGGGCAGCTACTGTTCCGTGGCCGGAGTGTGGAGGCCAGCAGCCTTAACCTCTTCCTGGCCCCGAGGTCCATTTGTCTGCATGTCCTGGTTCCTGGCTCTGGGGGACCCGAGGCCGGGGCTCTTGGGCCTGTCCTGGGGCTCGAGCTGGGGTGTGCAAGGCGTGTCCTCCCTGGTTGGCTCTCCTGAGGCTGTTGTGGGGCTGGCCTCTCGTTGCTGTGCCTTCTGGCTCCTGGTAATGATACGGCAAGGGGCTGCATCCACTGCAGAGCCAGCCTTACTCCCCTTCCGCTGGCCCCTGGGAGCTGCATGCTTGGTGCCCGCCAGCGGGCCAAGACAAAGGGTCGACAGTCCACCCTGCACTGCGCTGGACAGCCCGGTGTGAGCTCGGGGTCCCGGCCACCCACTCCCTAGTGCTTGTGGGAGCCTTGCGGGGCCGAGGCAGGCTGGGCACCCTCAGGCGGGCATTAGGAGCACCCTATCAGCGTAGAGTCAGGGCAAGGCTCGCTGAACCCCCCCGTGCTTTGAATCCCCGGGCTTCAGCCTCATCTGCAGTGTGAGGTCGCAGTTGCACAGCCCTGAAGACTGCCTGCGTCGTCAGCAGAGCCCATCTGTCCCAGACCGCTGTTTTTTCAAAAAAGGAATCCTTTTACTTGGGGCCAGCAGGGGGTATAGCGGTTAAGGTGCTGGACTCCAACACGGCTGAATGCAGTTCGAGTGCTGGATCCAGCGGCTTGAGATTCATGTCAAGGCGTGTGTCCCAAATCCTGAGAGAATGGAGGAGGAGGGATTGTGGCATGGCCATCACCCTGGGGGGTGACTCCTCACTGTCTCTATCTGCCTCTCTGGTGAGTGCACATATCCTATAGCAAAAATCTCTCAAATAAAAAGAGAATGGTTTAATTTTATTATTTTTTTAAAATTTAATCAAAGAGAAAGAGAGAGAGATGGATATAGTGAGAAAGCAAGCCACCAGGTCTGGGACTCGAACCATAGTCACACGGGAGTCTAGCACCTCAACCACCATGCCACCTCCTGGCCCTGGTCCCACTTTATCTTATGAGAACCTGGTAGGACAGTCATTTCCGTGCCTAACTGGCAGAAGGGGAAAATGAGGCTTAGATGGTACAGAGGACGCATGGACCAGGCTGGGACCAGTCTAACCCCACAGGCTATACCCTTGCTGCAGAGCCCAGGGTGAAGAGCTCTAGGGAGCATGTCTTTCTAGAGAGTTCTTATGGACCTTGAAATCCACACAACTGTCCTTCCCCTTCAAGGACCTGTCCTGGGCCCCACCAGCTCTGGCCGCACTTCTGTCCTGAGCCACTGCTGCATGGGGAGGCCGGGCCGCCTGGGAGCCATGTGGTGTCCATGAGCCGAGTCTATGTAGCTGCCACCTGCCCCCACTCACCTCTCCTGTCCCCGCTTGGGGGGGTTCTCGGGGGGGACCAGAGTTCGGCGGATGTATTCTCGGGAACGGATGTCAGCCTGGAGGAGACAGAGGGCTCGAATGAGAAGGGGGCTGGGTCCGGGCTGGCAGTCCCACGTAGCTCCGCACTGGAAGCGGCCGTGCCATTGGGTGTGGATGACAGACACCAGGACTGCAGGCCGTGGCCCTGCGACGGCAGACTCTAGCCCACTCTTGAGGTCCACACGGGAGACCTGGCTGCTGGGTCAAGGAGGCAGGTGGGGTCGCAATGCACTTCCTAGCCAGCGCTGCTTAAGTGGCGGCGGCTCTGCTCAAACCCCTTCTCTGAGACTCAGCCCCGTGGGTCTGCCCTCACTTTGGGTTCACCGTCTCTCCCCAGCACCAAACCATCTCATCTCCAGGGTTCTGCAGAGTCGCCAGAATAAAAGAGAACTTGCAGGCTGCAGGGAGGGGTCAGGGCAGACTTGGCGGGGCACAGTGCTCAGGCCTGAGCAGGACCCCCCCGGGGACCTGGCCTCAGGAGGCCCCTCTGATCCGGGCTCCAATGGGCTCAGCTTAGCCTCGAGGCTGAGGCTGCAAAAGCTAATCCCCAGACGGTGCTGTGCCAGCTGGGGGAAGTGGGGCACGGTGGAGGCATGGGAGGGGCCGGCAGCACTTGTGCCTTCTCCGGCGGGAAAGCCTGGGCCTGGCGCAGGTGCAGCGGCACCCATGCCCAGGGCCCCCACACTGGCTTGGCAGGGGCAGTGGGTGAGGACAGCCAAGAGCCCAGCGCTT